TGTTGAATTTTTTAAGAGGTTGGCGGCCTCTTAAAAAAAGAGCGCTTGCCCGTCCACATGGACCAGGAGCTGTGCGTGGAACGTATCCAGCAAAGCAAGGGGTGAGCCGGTACAGTACAAAGGTGAACTGTACTGATAAAATGTTTGTGGCAGTGACCAGGATCCGAACCCACGACATCACTGCTTTGGGGCCGAAGTCCGTAACGCTACCGACTGAGCCACCGACTCACAAAATTCAAGTCAAGAAAATTACTACATAAAATTTTTATTTATCAAGAAGAACCAACAGTAAGTGATATTCCTTTATTATTATAAAGACAGCAAATTTCCATTATTGATAGGACAATATCAACTTGATCCACTCTTTTATGTGTACACAAAATTTATCAGTAAAAATACAGTAAATTTTTCCTGAAATAAAAACTTTTATCACAATCTATTTTAGCCAAACGTAATAAGCAAAATTCCATTGCAGATATTGAATAAAAAATAAAACAACTACAGCATTCAAGAAGAGACAGACACCTGTTCCGATGATAACTATCTGCAACATGGCCGGCTTATTTATACGTCTATGTTTGTGATGGGGTCAACATTAATATTTTTAGAGCAACTAGAATTTAGTGACCCATCTTGTCGTGATGATTTACTTTTGTCTGGGATGTGTTGCTGTTCGCTTATCCTTTTCGATTATCTAAAAATATTAAATGTCCTCTAATTAATTACTACGATTTAATTATTATATCGAAAATGTTCATAATTGCATTTTCATTTGTTAATAGCTTAGGATAAAACCCAGTCTTTGTCCTTAACTAAATAAATACATTATTTACCAATTACGAGTTTCATTTGTGTGCAATACAATAGTTTATTGTATCCCTTTACAAAGTTAAAATCCCGAATTGCCTAGTTACCTTTGGAAATTATTGATTGTATACACCACAACACTCCATGTTGCAAAGTATTTACCTAACACAACCTAACATATTGCTTACCGCTTGCTCACGTGTACACAATACTCGTATTAAAATAAAGTTTTACGATTCATCATTTACTCAGATCAGTGAGAATTTATATTTGCCTCTTGTATGTGTAATTGGTTACATTTGAAGGAAAAGTAATCTATAGCCTAAACCTGACCTCATAAAATATTTCCCACAGAGTACACAGCTCAAAATTACAGTATATACATTCTAAATAACTCTATACAGAGTGTTTGGTGGTCATTGTCAATGATTTTAAGCCATTATTATGCGCGCAAATTGCGACACAAACACGCAATTCTGACAGATTCGTAAGCAGCCATTTCTAGATTTTTCCAAATGTTTTGACATTGCACACTAAAGTCTCATTTTTTGCTCACGTTATTAATATAGTTATGTGAAAACGGTGTTATTCTTTTATGAATATTTGACAATGGGTTCCTGAAACAGGCCATAATAAATCTAGCAGGTAAATAGGAATTTCCATGGATTGAGAAAATGTGATTGTATGAAATCACAATTCATGGTCCTAAGTTGGCAACCAATAATCCTTCTAACCTAAAATACTAATGTAAGAGGTTGAAACTTTATTTATATTTATCTAAATGTTTACGTTACAGGTTTATGTATGAAATTCTTAAAATGTTATCTATAGAGTAAAAAACCCGATACAAGGATACCCTTACATGACATAACCCTATACAAGATTTGCTTACCCGATTTTTGAATACTATTGGGGCTATAAAAGTAGTTTTAAAGCCTCTAGCATTTAGCATTTAGATTATCATTGCACATTATTTGTGACTTCATTGCCCCAAAAAATGGAAGATAACCAATAGAAAACTTTTAACATGTTTTAAGGATTTTGTTTTTGAATTAGAAATATCTGCTTTTGCAAAAAAAAGTGTTCGATTAATAACAAGTTATCATTGTAAAGGTAATTCAAAAGACGTGAATGAAAATAACTTATGTGTGCATTTATCCCTCGTAAAAGAAGAACAAGAATCAAGGTTCAAATAGCAATTAAGTTAAAATAAAACAGATTAACACAAATTAACACAAATTTTATGATCACTTTATCATTAGCATAATTTTATGGTCGGAGTTCCTTGTAATATGTCTGGGGTTTAATGGGGGGAATGTGGTTGATATTTTTAGGATGATGAAATGTAGAAAATGATCTATTATCTCCACAGTTGACGCAAACTTTCAGACTAAGCAAATTCCTACTTAGTAAATTATTAATGTTTCTTACTATCATTTGGTTAAATGAACCTAAGACAATAACTACAACAGACAAGTCCACACGTTTATTTTTTACGAAATACAAAACATAAATTGAGGGGCGAGGGAATTGTAGCAAACGATTTCCCACACTTATCCCATCAAGCTCCAGGGGAAGGGGAGTTCGTTCTTGAGTTTATATGTTTTCCCGAAACTCCCGATGAACGCTTCCAAGTAGGTCGGTCCATTTAGGATACTCATCACGTTCTTAGCGTCAGAAGCTTGAGCGTGAGGTCTTCCCTCCACTCCCCACTGCGAACAAACAATTCAACAGGTTCTAAGCTAACTTTTAATATCAGCTACAAGTTTCAGCAGTTTTTCCTGCTTTCTGCATAAACAGGTTATCTTGATGACAAGTTTTTTTAATTGTTGGGCTAAGCATATTAAGAAGTGATTAAAAAAAAATGTAAAACATGTTCAGATATGTCATAGATTGTGAAAATATATTTTAAAAATTAACTCTGTTACTTTAGAAAATTGTTGATAGGTAGGTATTTGTTAAATATATTATAATTAAATATACTTTCAATTAATGGGTGGTCCATAATAAGCTTCATTTTGCTGTCTGACTCGTGTATCCCCAAACAATTATTGTTTCTCAAGATTAAAATCTTAAAATGAACTTAAATTTTAAAACAATTCTTCACATTTCTATTTCGATACTTAAACAGTTTATACCAAGAATTACATTAAACAAAGACTGCTGAAACTTATAGCTTATATTCAAAGCCAAATTGGTATTGAAACCTTATGAATTGTTTGTTGCATATAAATTCAAAGAGTTTGATAAGTACAAAAAGGGTAAATTAATCGATGAAAAACACTTATTTACAATAATTAATTATGAGTATAAAAGTTTAATTCAAAATATTTCGAAGTTCAAATATACTGCTTATTTGTAAACCACTCAAATCAGCTGATATGTCTTCCCCAGACCAAGGGACGATAACATTTTGCTAAAGAAATCCTGATGTAAGAAGGTATTATAGTTTTAAGTAGAATCATAAAAGAATCATAGAAGTAATCATAGAATCATTAAAGTAGAATCATCATAATGTGAAATGGTAATAATTGAAATTATGAATATCTCCAAACAATGTAGAAATGTCTATTTTAAGGCTAGTTCTAGAGAATGGTATCGATTTATTTAAGACTATTAAATCATTTTCTTAATAACCCCCTGGAAACGTGTTAATTTACCTGAAATAAATTAGATAACGTTTAAAAAGTAAGTTATAATCAATGAATCTAAATGAAAACGAATCAATGAGACGTCTACAAATATCTAAATATTAGGAGATTTATTTTAAAGTAATGTTTCATAGTAATAAATGTTGAAAGTAAAAATCGTATATTTTTATTCAAGATCGGTGGATGACAACAGAGTTTTAAAAGTTCGTTGTTATTCAAGGTTGATGGAAGTTTGGGGTTAACTTGTGTAAGCATGCAAAGTGAGTGTATAAGCTAAGAACAATCATGATGTTTATAGTATATTTCATTGTATTTTAAAAACCTTTTTTCAGGAAAAATATTTCTATAAAAACTGAAAAATGATTGAATTGTAAGTAGAGAGTATAATTTATTACGCGAAGTAGAAGGATTGAGTAAAGGTCGTTTATCTCAAGGTCAATATCAGGTAAGGTCATACAGAAACTGTCGTATGTATGTACAAATACAAGTAGCAAACTAGGGTTCAATAAAAAACCCCTAGTAGACTCCTACTTAGGATACGTAAAGTTAAAGTCAAATACTAGGTAACTAGGTACCTCCAATTTTACTAGAAAAGTAAATTGTCTTATTATACTAACAAGTTGGTTTGTAAACTTTAGTGTAACTAATCCCCTGATATGAAATTAGAGAAAGTCTTTTTTTTCTTTTTCACCTAATAGAAGCGCAACATGTTCATTGACATTGTATGGTTCTATATCGTAGAGTAAAAATGCTTAGTCATTATGCATAGTTAAAAATATGAAACAAAAAAGTTTAAAATCGTGTTATCAAACAACAGTTGTTATTGTGTGTCCGCACAAATTAGTTGTTTAAAGTATTTTTCTCACGCATACTATAATATCCAATTTCATTGGCACTAAGAATATTTAAACTTGTGTACCCAGCCGAGTTCAACATTTTTAATAATTAGGCCATCGACTCAATAAACAATAAATTCAATTAAATTGTAAAACATCAGACAGTATAAGAAATAAAAAAAAACTCAAGGACATAAAACTACACGATTTCTAAATTACGGTATAAAATTTTCTGTGCATAACTTTTTCGATTCCGAAAGATGCACTTTCTCATGATTATTTCTCCTAAAAGTCCATACGTTTTTTTGAACGAACATTTATTATTTTAGGCATCTATCATTTAACTCATTCAAAACAACATACAGCTAAACTATAAATTAGTCTATAAAAAAATTAAAGAATATAACCCAAAATAGCTCTACAGCTTATAAAACGCCCAACCCGTTTTTAATCAACATATATTCAGCTAGTAAATTTGATTTATACTGCTACATTTAAATAATTATAGGTCAGTATACCAAATATTTCCAAGATGGCGGACCAAGCGATCAAATAACCTCAAAATAGAATGAGATTACCGAAACTAAACTATATTGAGTAGATCTAGTAGGTCTAGTGATATCGTATGGCTTCCTTATTGTTTTCACACATGCTATTAGCAGCTCTGACCAATTAAGAGTGACGTAAAAGATTAACAAAATCTTACCACAAACAAGACGATCACCAGGAGGGCGAGATGTTTAAGTCCCCCCATCTTGAGTGATATACAATAAAGTTTATTCCGTCGTCGGCCACCGCAGAGCTAACATGGCGTCGATAACATATCTCGGCGATAAGGAACAAATAAACTATAAACTATATTCAGTGCCAATATGCTGCTCGCCATGTTAATATGCGGTAAATCATCCGTTGTGCCTTCCTTGTTCAGTAATAAAAGTTAAGTAGTTGCTAACTTGTAATTTCAAATCCCGATTCAAATTATTATTAGTGGTGGAAATAGTGTAGTGATGTTAGTGGTTGTGTAATTAAATATTTTTATAACGGTATGGTGTTTACTTGCCTGTTTAATTAACTGTAGTAGTTTTGTAAAGTTTAATAACGGTTATAACACTATGGGATAAAATATAATGTTCCTTTTGTTTAGTGTTTAGCGTGATCTTAAGGATGTTAATATTCAATTTAGTTTTGTTTTTTGGCAAATGAAAAGAAGTAAATAGCAACAGGTTATGTTAATAATTAAAAACAATTTTAGATAAAATAATAATTATAACTTTCTTTGGATAAAGACAATTTGTTGTAGATAGAATAACGTGTAGTTCAAACACGAAATGAATATTGAATACGGTTTATATTAAATAATAAAAGAATACTGTAGTTATCACAATCTTGTATAATATCTTGATATAAATCTTTATGTGAATATTCATTATTCAATCAGTGAAAACTAATTTAAAATCGATAGGAATTCTAACACTAACACAACCAATATATTAACCTGATATCTAAATAACAACCAATCAAATAACGTTAAATTTAAGAGATTAGGAAGCCCCACTACAACCGAAAAACCTTGTAATGAGTTGATAAAACGTTTTTACACAGGGATATTTAGAAATACATCATCTATATTAGAAGTACTTACCACCAGGAGGACCCCTAACAGGGCCAAAACTTTCCATGAGGTTCCACTCATGTCGTCTCACAAGGTGTTCCTGACGCTGTTATCACTAACAATCAGCTGATAAGACTTGAACAATGGTGGCGGGGACTGTTCACTCACCTGATGACGATTGGTCGTGAAATGGATTCATCAATCACTCTTTCAATTGGCGTTAAATATTGTATGCGATTCAATGTATACCTAAATATTCAATTTTTTTAGACAGGTAAAACTCGTCTAGCAAGCTTTTAGTTAACTTTGATACAGCACTGAATTAAAATAGAGTAGTTACCATGAATTTGGATGTGACGAAAACTTCTCTAAGTTAGGTACATGAAAAGTCCAAGATGTCATGTAGTCTGTAGAATGTGCAAATGTGAACGCACACAAATAAGTTAACAATAATTTGAATAAATGTAGCACATTTAATTTCTTAACGTTCTCATCTTGCAATGCGGGGTTAAATCTTACCAGTAAATTGGTGTTTCGATGCAACAATTCCTCACCATTTTATTTATTAATTTCTTGTATATTTAACTTTTTTTATTATAAAGTTTAACATTTTTCAAACTTCTACTGTATTTTAAACTTATTCATAATGAATAGCTGTTTAAAAGTATGGTTTGTTGAATTAGAACAATCTCCTAATATGAGCATTATATTCAATGCATTTATTTGGATTAATCTGAAATCCTTTAGAGTTGGCTTGAAGTAAAAATCAAGAAAATGCAATCATTACGTACACAAAAAACTTGCTAAGATGGGAGACTCTTCATACAACTCCTTGGATATAAACTGTATACTGTCCATAATATTGAGCCAGCTTAGTTATTCAGGAAAGAGACTCAATAGAAATAAAGATTTTAAAAACACTGTAATTTAACTCATTTATATTAAATTACATTACAATTTTCATAACTTTTCGTGATCTGCGATCTGATATGGGCCTCACGAGAGAAAGTATCATGGACAGAAGGTACTCCATACAGTATCAACAGTACACAATAATACTGGCCAGTATCAAGGTTACTGTCCAAAAATACAGCCAGAGCTGAAAAATTACATAAAAAAAGACACACAAAGAGCTAGTATATAGTAGTCAAAACAAGAAACAATAACCTCAAAGATAAAATAATTAGAGGGTAAGCGAACTCAAAAGGAAAACCTTGGCCAAGACTCCACAGAGAATTCCAGACTCTAAACGCCGTGAAAACTTGTTGATTACTGGTCGTGAAGGAAAATGTCTTCAATAATTTCGCCACCGAATACACTTGAAAGAAAAACTAAAATTATGTAAAAACTGATTTTTGGGGCTCTATGATGGAATTTTGAGATAAAAACAAGTTGGGAGAAACATTTAAGTGTCTATGAATTTTAAAATATTTGAAAAATTACATCAGGCGTACAATGCACTCATATATCAGGCTACGTATTTTAAGGAAAAGGTGAGTTTGGAGTTATTGAGATCATAGCTTTTTACTGACTTTATTAAATCAGCTGTATAATCAGCTGTTAGTCAGGAATGTTACTTGGCACCTACAAAGTTTTGATAAGATAAAAATGCAGTCAATTTCCTTTCTGACCTTTTCATAAACATGCTTTTTAATATGAACTATTTTGTAATATGTTGTAAAAACAATTACAAAAATAAATATTGTATGTAAATTTAAGAATATAATGGTATAATTTTATGAACCTGTGCCTCAACCCATATTTCTGCAGAATGTAAGTGTATTTAATCGTCCTTATTCGTCATTATTCGGAAAAGACGCATTTGGAAACTATTATTTTTTATGCGTTAGGGTATTGTATTTAATTTAAATTTGTTCTTTTGCAAATTACACATATTTATTATCCAAATTAAGTAATGATTTAGTAAATCGATATGGTCTTGAGGCTGGAATTTAGTTTTGAACCATTTTTTCGACCCTAGAAACATTTTTAACTTAGCAAAGAAGCAAACAACCCCATTTCAAGTTAAGTTCACAGCCTTTTTCATAACATGTTGAATTAAAAAACAAATGTTTTAGATTTAAATTACAACTTCACATGAGAAAGATGGTTTTGGAGCCTGCAGCTACTTGCAATACAATCGAAGAATGCTAATAACATCCCAAAAAAGGAAAAAGACCACTCTTTGAACAGTCCAGGTTTGTAAAGCGTTACAAGATGGCATTACATTTAAATAAAATCAAACAAAAAAATAGACGAACGGATAAACGAGCATGACACAATTGCATTTCATGGATTTATTTTACTGAAGATAAGCTGATAACTGCAACCACATGGCATGCTATCTGGAAAACTAAGTTTTCTTAAAAACTAATTGCATCTATTACACGAGACAGATATAGTAAAGTAGATGTTTTAGTTTTGATCCCAAAAAACTCAGGCTAGAAACATTGTCATATTTTGAAACTTCAAGTTTACTTCCTTAGTATAATACTATCTTTGAGTTCAGATTAGTAAAATTGCACACACTAAAGACACTACTGTTTTTTCAACGTCAAAACAAAACTAAACACAGAAATGTGTGCGTAAATTGTAAGAGTTTAGCTAATATCACAGAATAAATGTGAAACACTCTTTATTCCTAAGAGTGTTTCGCTTTTATTTTTTGCTAGGGGTATCGGGGCGAAACCCTGCAACCCCTTCTAGCCACAGCCAAATAACAGATGAAGAGTCATTTCCTTTTTACCTGAAGTATCTTAATACAACCTTTTTATCTTAATATAACAATAATTGGATTATAGTTAATTGCTTCTTTTAAAATGTGGTTTTACAAACTCCTGATAGAGGAAAATATTAGCAAACTTTTTGGCCATAGAAATGCTTCAAGAAGGACTAATTATTTTTAGGAGGAAAATTGTATTATTTTACTGTATTGTAGATGGTTTTATGGTAGATGGTTAAATGTAACTTACCATACCTTTGATATTGAAGGGCGCTAAGAAAATAAAGTGTACGGCCACCTGTATGGACTCGTATAGTTATGTTATTCTCATATTAGTGTATATTTTTTATGTAGTATTGTTTGACAAATATACTTCATGATATGTAAATAAATAATACTTATATTAATAAAAATTAGAAATACTCAGCCCTATCTTGAAACAATATGCTAATTTGTGAATAGGGGAATTATAGCGTTTACTAGAACGCTTGTATAATGCATAAAACTCATCAGTAGTATAAACTCAACATATAACTTGATCGACACCAAAATGACTTTGCTTTAAAATATTTATACAGGCAAATCTTAATACACTAAGACTTCTAATTTCCACTTTCGTTATGATTACTGAAATTAAATGTACGTGTGTAACGAGTGGTTTACGTGTGTGACAACAGGACTTAGTCTCTAGACGGCTTACGGCAAGGAAATGTTGATATTCCATGTGCCATTAGGTATATAAGTTTGAATGCGCCTATACGGTTTAAAATACTTTATATTGTACCAGTGGTGTATGCAAAGAAAAATTAGTAGACCTAGTTAAAGGATCTTCTAAAAAATACACTGACTGCGATCAGATGTTTATCCCCTTCCCTAAAGCTGGCCAAGAAGAAGAATAGGCCTTACTAAATAAGCTCCGGACATTTAATTAGTAATACTTAACCTTAAAATAAACATGCCGCCTTTACATAAATTTAACAGTCAAATGTTTTCTAATTAGTTCTCAACAAAAATTACCTCACAATGAACTATTTCAACACACCTTAATATGTTATAAAACAAAATACAAATGGCGTTGAAGTCTATTTACTAGAATTTACTGGATTTTTTGGTCTTCCAAATATTTGGTAAAATTAACGGTTTTCTTGGAATTTTGCATCACATGTGTTCAAAAGCCGCCATTTTTAAACGGTTCAAGAGTTTTTATTCTTATTTTGCACACACATAGTGGTCCATAAGAAAATCATTTTTACAGAATTTCAACGATGTAGCTCAAACAGTTAAGGAGTTATGAACTTTTTTGTAAAAATCACATACAGACAGATAGACCGAAAACGGAATGAGATAGTACACATGTTATATTACATTTTTTGTTTCTTTTGACATGCTGAATAGGCATTAAGTTTGTTTATATGGTCGTAAGACACCCTGTATACTACCGTTTATAATACCGTAAATATAATAATATACGATTTTATAAGTAACGCATTAGTAAATCGGTTTACTTCAACAAATTTA